GCGCATTTTTAATCACAAGATATTACCATTTTAAAATTTGTGTTCAGGTGATGCAATACTTTTGAGCGCCACTGTATGTCACTTGGTCGACATAACATAATGACGTGCATTTTTTAGTCGTTTGCCTATACTTTATGAAATGGATACAGAAGCAATAATATTTTGTACATATACATTATTTTGAAATTCGTTAAAATAAAACAATGGTTTAAATATTATAAATGAATTTGACTATTCAATTTATTATAGTCGTAACAATTAAAGTCCAAGGAAATAACTTTAATCATTCCGTCTGGACAGATTAAATAAAATATCGTTCGATTCTTAATTATTTAAATTTTATCAAAAAAAAAAATAAATAAGTAAATAAATGAAACAACTTTCTAACATAACGTTATCCTAGCCGTCCGCATATAATCAATTTCTTAATGGAATTATTGTTTATTCTGCATTAGGAATAGAAAAACCTTTTTTTGGTCGTATTATAAAATAAATGTATTATATCTGCTATTGTTACTGTCTATCATCATTAATTCCCAGTTCAGTATATTTTTTTAAATTAAAAAAAATATATATTAGCACAACTTTAGGATCTCTCAATTTGTAAGAAATGTTATAACAGTTATTGAATGTAGTGAAATTAAAGAGTAGCATAAAAATAAAATATCTTTTTTTAGAAAGATATTTGGTGGTCGTTTCATTTTAAAATTTGCAAACTTAACAAGATATTAACGGCAATAATGAAAACAGTGTAGGAAAAAATGATACTGAAGGAGCAAATATTATAGTTAAACATGTATGGAAGTCTCATATTGATCATCTGGATTATTTGAAGTGATTTGGAAGAAAATCCTGAAGAAATTGTGAACCTAACAAGTTGAAGGATAGGTATAAAGAAGCATAGGGAGTAATTTCAAAAAAAAAATAAAAATGAGATAAATTAATTTTCAATGTTTTTATTCCTAAATCAAAATAATCACGTGATTGATTTCTAAAAATATATATTTGATACGATAAAAAAAAAATACTTCATCCCTTCCGTATTTCGGCGTGAAACAATGACGCCGTAAGGTATATTTTTTGCCTGGGTAACTGCAATTAATACTATATGCAATTATACATATTTCTACATATCGAAAGATGCACGTACCGACTCTCAGTAAAAATGATCCTCTATTATAATTTATCTTAATGTTCTTTGTTATGAAGAAAAAATATATAAAAGTTACTTAATCAAAGAAGGTATAGTCGGTCCTATTACATAATTGACATGTGGTACGCTTTTATAAATCACTCGAGTATACTTTAATAACAAAGCGGGTTTTTTTATTAAAGCCAAAATCAGTTACCTGCTTGGCAATCAATGATATCATATGCGTTTAAATGGAATATAATGTATGATCGATCATTTTTCCTATTCAGCCGTACAGCGATAACTCCACTAAATCGGAAACAATGGGATGCATATTTTTTTTTGGTATTCAAACAATGCCCATGTATAAATAAATAATTTTTAAAGTAATAGTAGTTCAGTTGAAAAGCTTTTCTATTTTTGGCAGCACAGATGAATATACGGTTTTTTTAAAAAAAAATATAGGCAATTTATTTTTTTAATTTTTTTTTATGTTTAATAGGAGGAAATAAATCTTAAAAGGTTTCTAATGAGAAGTAATTTTTTTTTATAATTTTAGGAAGAGAATCTTTGTAAACTTAGTTTATATTTATAAAAATTACAAGATTGTTCGTAATGGGGGGGGGGGGGGGTTTAATGTTTTTTGCCAGTTTCTTAATGAAAATTTCTTTCTGATTTTGACAGCATAACAAATTTCCTTCATAGATAAATTTAGATAATTTCATGTTTGCACTTAAAATTATTTAACGTAACTATTTCTATTAAACATCATAGTATTGGTGATAGCTGAAATAACTAATTGTAAATCTTCCATGCTACAATTTGAAAAATCATAAGATGACGGTTGTGTGACCATTATCTGCGGTAATGGGGTGAGAGGTTGTGGTTGACTTTCCTGATACTTAATGAGAGAGGAGTGAATTTTCGACAACGAGGTAAAAAAAAATTCGAAAAAGATGCGAAATAAAATTTAAAGTTATAAATACCTTGATCCCGGTGTAATTAAACGCAGTATTTTCAGTAGTTTTCTCAATATTCTTAACTAATTCTTCTAATCTATTGATCTTTGAACGAATCAATTTAACGCATTTATTTGACTCTTTACAGCGAGCGCAGGTTCTTTTAATTGTTGGTTTGATCTCAAATTCGGTGTCACTTTCCAACCCCGTTTGAATCGGTGGAAGGATTTCTTGAGAGGAATATCTCAACATATTTGCGGGTAAAGGGTAATTATTATTTAATCTATAATTTGGTGTTAGCTTTAATCTTTGAACTCGTGAATGTTCAGACATTCGAGTCGGATGAAAATAATTTCCTTCTTTACTATTCATATTAACAGGAATAAGTTTTGATATTGGGATATTTTTTTTATGTATTTATTCTATTTGTGAAAGAAATGAATTTTTATTTTTCCAAGTAGAATTCAAACTCTTCATAACGCGATACCTTTTTATAATAAAATTTTTTGTTACTACACAAATGTATTGTGTAAATCATACGCTTATTTACTTTGTTATAATTATTGTTAGTATATGCATTATCGTTATTAGCTGTCTGTGGCTTTATAACTACCCGAAATTGAGTTAAACTCGGAATTATTTTCCGTATCGTACTAAAAGTTATACAGACGCAAAATTTTAAATTTCATACCAAGATATCAAGAAGCCTTCAATTTTAATGCTGCGGCGATCATTCATCGGAAATTACCGACCTTTTATTTTATTAATCAAAAGATTACTTTATTTGTCAAACAATTACTAAACGTAATCAATCCAATAAGTTCGCGTAATCGTTGACACCTAATATTATTTTTTCTAGAAAAAAATCATTTTCTAAAAAAAAAAAAGGAGTAGATAAAATAAATATCTGAATTATACTAATAAAGTATAAGAAGAATGTATAGAATATAAAATTATATTTAAAAAGAATTGGATTCTCGTTATTGTATAACTAACTTAGTCGTAACCGAAACATTTATGGTAAAATCCGGTAAAATAATAACACGTTAATTTATCATTAATAAGGAAAAATGATAAAGCACACTGACACGAGATTAACAGCTTCAGGAAGATTATGGCATATACTCGGCGAGAACGTGCTCAATAATTTCCGTTCAGCCTAATGAAAGAACAGAAATAAGGAGGAAACAATCCATCTTTTTTTTATTTTTTTAATTAAAAAATGATCTTTGTTCAAATTATTCATATTAATAAGGATAAAACGATAGAGAGAAAAAAAAATTTTTTTTTAACTCCGATAATCACTGTGTAATGATTTCGTTTTTATATAAATTAAATTTTACATCGGTACACTATTCAGAAATTTAAATTTTACTTCTGACGATTCAATTAAATTTTCCGGCTAAGATATGAAAACTTAATTAATGAAGACCAACAAATCGAATCAGAGCCACTTTATCAAAATCTTATTAGGAGAATGATTACATGCATGATAAACTTTAAAATTACTGAAATTCATATTCTTTCATCTAATACTATTACTACAATATCTTGACTGCGCTATTAAAAACTGTTGCGGCATGAAGATCGTCTGAGACTTTTCATGGAACAATCCAATTATTTATTTTATAATCCATATAATATTATATAAGAAACCATAACGAATTGCTTTTCATGATTTTCATGATAATATCCTTGATGGACAATTTCCATATGAATCCGTGATTGTTAAAATTTTTTGACGAAAAAATATTTTGAATGGATCATAACACAATGCAATGTTCATTCATAAAATTTCTTTATTATGACTTCATTACGTTTTATTATTGGAAAATGACGTGACACATTCTTATCTAATTACAATATATCTGCCAGGTTAAAGTGTGTAGTGTGACATTATCTGTTAAGTACAGTTTTTTTGCTTTATACCTATTATGGAAAGACAAATCAAACAATAACACACAATGCAACACAATTGGAAATTGTGTCATTATTATTCTATTTTGGAGATTTTTCTTTGTTTTTTTTCTTAAAAAAAAAACTGCGACTACGCCCAATGAGACTCTGCACATTGACGATCTAAAATGTCAGTTATTGACGATATGCATTCGGCCCTTTACATCTTTAATAACAATTTGCCTTTCCGTTAACACCTCGATAATTGATTGATACATTGAAGGAAATGCCGTGATCGAATTTTAGGGAAGAAATTTTGTTATAAACAGACTTCATATTTCGATATGATAGAATTAGATAGTTCTCTTCTCTTTAGGCCTATTATATAGCGCCGGCTAAAGCAGTAATACCTAGTCATTCAAGTGGCCCAATCGTAAACATTGCTAACGTTTTAATAATTACAAATTTATAAAATATCTCCCTTATGAAACTAGGAGGTAACAATATCACATCAAATTTAGCCCTGAATTACGTATCAAATGATGATAAACTTAGTACGTTCCTTTAAGACATGTTTTATTAAGCATTTTCTTCAGTAATAAAATGACGTTTCCCAAAGTTATTTAAGTAATTCGATCTAATAACGAATAATTAATTGAAATTTACTATTTTATTTTAAAAAAATTAAAATAATCTTTGCACGACAGAAATTAAATATTTTTTGGTAATTAAACACCCGTACTAAAGCGAGTAATATTAGCAATATTAGCAGCACATTAAAATATAAATAGTCACGTGATATTTGCGTTAGAAACACTGAAATTAAATGACAAACAATGTGACGCCAAGAGTTTATCGGTAAATCATCGTTACGCATGGATATAACCAAAAGAATCCACTTTGGAGATTGCCATTTCGGATCATATGATTTACTATTATGATTTTAATAGATTTAATTTATTTCAATATGTTAGGTAATTCAAATTAATTCAACGCTTTACGTCTTGTATCTAACCCATTCGATCAGTAGGGGAAAATGGTATTCACATTTTTATTTACACCCGTCCGTACAAGTAATGATAAAGGTTATCGATCGAGTTCAACAATTATTCTAATTCGAATGATATCAGCTTATTATACTGATCAGAAAATACTAAAAGGCATAATTTTATTATAAATAAATTCAAATAATCATTTCTTACAAGCATACTCAAAGATAATTCTTATAAATAACTTAAAGCCATATAAATACATAATTATTTTAAAATAATAAAGGAAGAAATTTGAGAAGATTATTTACTAACAGTAAGCACACATTTTGTAATTTTATCTATATGAAACTATTAATTAATGATTTAAAGTTTAAAGTGCGATAAGATATTGTCTCCGAATGACTAAAGTTCTTACACTTTATACACTTTATAAAAGAAATTTCTTTTTCAATATAATGTCGATCCATTGAAAAATTCATTTATTAATAAATCATTAGAGATTTGTGTAGAGAGGTTAGCGATTCGATTCAACGTGTCTTCATTGATAGTTCGAACGCGGATTCGAAATACATTATTTGCATCTGCATTTCGTGGCCTTCTGTTTCTTCTTCGATTAATTCTTCTTGGAGGTCGTATTCCACGTATCCAATTGTCATTAACAATGGTGATTGAAGGATTAATTGAAGACATTTTCGTATGTTGTTATTGATTTTCGGTTATTGAGAGATATAAAAAATTAATTGTACGGGGAGAAGAATATTTTCAACCCGTATTTATATATAAAAGAAAATTATGAGACTTTTTATTCATTGAAGTATCAAATTTTTTATAATGTTGGTTGAGAATCATTTCAAACTAATCGTTATATTATACGTTCAGTGTCACCTCACTAACCTACAAAGTTAAATTCTCACGGCACGGCGCATCATGGCATGGTGTAATATGAATGACCAATAATTCTCTTTAGAAGAGACGATGTACACCTGCTTGGACAAAACGTATTAAAATATTACCCGTGATTTCCGTGATTTTAGTAAGCAATATTAGAAAGAACAATATTTCTACTGTTTCATACATTATAATGAGTGTCTTTAAGTTTAATCTCGGTTCACAAAGAAAGTTCAATTAGAATTCAAGTTGAATAAAAAATAATTTACGAATTAAAGTTTATTTTCATATTGCATATATTGCATACGTAACTTGCGGGTATATGTACAGAATTAAGTTATCGCAATTTCCGTAATATTTTTTTTTCATCAAGACTTTTAAGACTTTTATTTATTTTTTGAAAAGATAATTATTCTCTTCAAGATCATTGAAATAATTTTTTTTTTTTAAAAAAAAAAAGCCAAGTTTATTGTAAAAGATTTTTTTTTTCATTCAAAAAAATTTCAAGTATTTAATTAAACTAGATATTAAAATAAATGTCAATCAGCGATCTTTAAATTAATAATATCTTTTATCCGCAGTAAATATTCATCATGATTAATAAAAAAACATTCTGAGAAATATGAATGGGCCAAGAAATATAACATGTGTTTGATCTTCTTCCATGCTGATCTGCGCACTAGTCCAAATTTGGTTAGTTTACTCTCATGCATAATTTCCATTACTGTTTTTATCTCATCAAATTAAAAGAGTCTTTAAATGACAAAAGTATATTATACTTCCATTAATAGCTTCCTTTCAATCTTCACAAAAAAGGTTAACTTCGGCTGTATAATCAGGATTATATCAATAATACAATTAAATGATCCATTAAAGATTAATAAGCACTGTATTATTATAAATGATTTTATAACCCTTAATATGAATTGATAAATATAAAAATATTGATAAAAATATTACAAACGTGATTGATTTCCGGAATTATATTGTGGCGGTCATATAAAAGATGGTTGAAGAATCGATTTTTTCATTACTGAATTTAGTAAAAAAAAAAATGAACAAAGTGTTTCAAATAATTTCTTTCTTTCGATGGGAAATCTCCGCTTCATGACATGCTTTAATGTCCGGAAAGATCCGGATGGATAAATTTCGGAATTTTGTGATTTAAAGATCTACGTCACAAAGGTAAAAAACTTAGCATAATTATTTGAAAACCCTTTTCAAAGAATTGTGTTTCTTTATCTACTCTGCAAATTTACTCTTTTTTAGAAAAGATCCGGAACCTGTCTAGTTCGATCTGTCCAGAATTTATCCGGATTTGATGGGTTAGAATATCACCGAACTGCGGATGATATTTTAACACCCCTATATAACTGTATTACTCTGCAGTCGCACATGATCATGCTTATAAATAAATTAACTATTATTATATTATGTTTAGCAATAATAATTATACAATTTTAGTTTATTTATAAAAAACCATGATCATTATTGGCTGTAGGATAAATTTGACAATTTATATTGTACAAAGCCGCAGAAAAAATTCTTGATTTCGGGTTTTTATTTTTCCGATCCATAAGAAATAAATTAATGTGCATATCGGTCTAGTCTAATTCAAAAGATTATTTCTCTATGGACTGCAGATCACAATTCTAGTTCTCTTTTCCAAACTAAAATAATATACATTAATCGATTTTATATGGGACTTTGCAATAAAAACTGCCGGGTAAAATCAATTTTAATTTTGTATGTCAAAAATGATATTTAGGTTGAAATTTAGCATTAACTCATTTTTTATTTTCCCGGCAGTTTCCCCCTTTCTATTGCAAAGGACCAATATATTTATTAACATATTTGTTAAATTAGATGGTAGTGATTTTCTATTGTAATTAAATTTGGACTTTATGCAGGCCAAGAAAGCATCTCAATTACAGCATTTTCACAGAATAATATTGTCATGATGAGTTGTAACAGAATCCTTTTTTGGAAAAAATTCCATTTTCATATAAAGGAATTAAATTGCAAAGTATTTCCAATGATGTTGAGTGAGAGATTAGGAAAAGAAAATAGATTTAGGGTTGGGAAATATTTGTGTAATAATTAGTTTTAAATTCTTGATAAGAAAAAAATTACACTAGAATTATATTTACATAATTACAATATAATTATTATAGCTATATATATAATAATTTATCCTATAAATTATCTAAAATAATTTTTTAAAACTACTCTAATCTATAAATCATTTTTCATTTTTTCCTTAATTAAACAGAATTATATATATATGTTTTAATTTAATTAAAAAATATATAATATTATTAGTAAACTAAATTTATTATAGATAAATAAAAAAATTAATATTAAGTTCATTTATTTTGATTTAAAAGCTAAGAAAATCAGCTTCTGGAAATTTTTAATAATTTAAGATTTTATTAAATTTTAATTAAAATTATTAAATAAAAAAATAATTTTTTTTTAAATAAAATATTATTTAATCAATATTATTATTTAATAAATATATTTATACATATTATCTAATAAAAATTATTAAAATTATCACAAATAATAATTTATTTATTATTATATTAACTTTATAATTTTTACTATTTTTTTTACAATTACATTTCAAGCTATTGAAATATTCTTTATAATTACAAATTTTACTTATAATTAGTTTTATATTTTATAAATAAATAGCTTTATTTAATAATAATTCTATTATTTATAAAAATTATTTTAAATTTTAAAATTACTAATTTTTAAAAGTTTAAATTTTATTTAAATAATAACTTTTTAATTTAATTTTTTACATATTATTATAAGTCTATTTTAAAATTTCACAATTATTAACTAATTAATACTAAATAATTAATTTGAATATAATTATATATGCAATCCAAAGTATTTTAATATAGTAGTAATTATTATTATACAATATAACTGTTATAAAGTAAACTGTATAAATAATGGTAATAAGTATAAAAAGTAAAAAGTAGCAATTATATGTATTTTTAATATTTAAGATTGGTAAAATAATTTGAATTGCATATATAATAATCTAATTCTAATAGTATAAATAATAATTTTGCTTTTATAAATTTATTAATTAATCATAAAAATGGTACAGCAATTAATATACGTTATAATATTATAAGTTATAATATATATAAGTTAAAATAATTGCAATGTACATTATAACATTAAAAGTTATAATATATTAATTATAATTCTTATCTTTAAATTAATTATTTTATCCTTATAGAGATTTATAGCAAATTATTTGATTAATATGTAATATATTATAATAAGATTTATCCTTTCATTTATAATAAAAAAATTTAAGATTACTTACAGTCAAAACTCGATATAATGATTCGCGATAAGCTGATTTTGGCTTATAATGAATTTTTTTCTTAAACTAAAACCACTTATAATTAATTTGATTACTGTATAATGATTTATTATAAATTTCGCGATATTACATATAATAAAGTCTAGTTGTAAACCACTAATATGTATTTATTCACAATTCACTGATAATGATTTTTCCCTCAATTTACTGATTATCATTATAAAAAAGATTTCTTATTTTATTTAACAATCATTAATATAAAGATAAAATATTTTTATGTATATAACGGATTATTCTTAATATAGCAATATAACAAGTGTTAATTGATCAAATTATAAATATTTGTTACTGTAGATCAAAAAATCATCATTTCTTTCAACTATACTTCACTATGTCTTCTGAAAAAAAATGTGTTACATTATCTATAGGACAAAAGAAAGAACTTTGTCTTAAAAAAGCTAATAATCCATTCATGTTAAATACTGAACTTGCTAAATATTACAATATTAAGCCTAATACAGTTAGTAATATTTTAAAAAGAAAGTCTAAATATATATCTATTTCTAGTTCTGAACAGGTTTTGAGAACCAATGTATAAATAGATGAGGCTGTTAGTATTTGGATGTCTCAGTTTTTGTCTATGAATCAAACATTACGTGAAGATATATTACAACAAAAGGCCAAATTATTTGCGAATAAATTTAGTATTACAGGATTCAATGCATCTGCAGGTTGGTTAACTAATTTTAAAAAAAAAAATAATTTTCGATCATATGGGAAGTTTGCTAGAAAAATGGGGTTCTGAGACATTTTTTAAAAAATTGAAATTTTTGATACATATTAATCTATAACTTATAAACTTTAATT